TGTTCAGTACTTTCAGTAAACATATTGTGTACATCTCTTTGTCATTCTACCCTCAAGATCATAGAATAGGCCTTGTTTACTGTTAGCAAAGGATCCATTACCAAGATCTGATTCCTCACCTGATCAAAGGAATGATTGAGTCCCATGAGAAATTGAATTAGTCTAGTAGATGCAGTCATATCAACAACTGCCTTAGAAGCACCACAAGAACAGTATTGGCAAGTATATTGAGGAGTAAATATCAAATAATTAAGTTCATCCCACAATTTCTTTAACTTTGTATAGTACTTAACTACAGACAAATTACCTTGATTGATAAATACAATTTTCCTTTGTAATTGATATAGTAAATCCCCGTTACATTCACCAAATCTCTCCTCTAATTCCATCCACAACTCTCTAGTATAATTTGTATAAAAAAAAGATTCAACTATCTCTTTAGAAATACAGTTCAATATCTAGGAAGTCATCATATAATCTACTCGATCCCACTTCTTATCAAATTCAACTTATTCAATTTCTAACCTAGGACATTTTTCATTTATAAACCTTAATTTCATCTTTGCACCCAATGCAATCTTTATAGCAAACGACTAGGACAAGTAATAATTACCTATCAGTGGAGTAGTGACCAAGATCATTCCTGGATGATCAGAACTCTGTAATTTCAAATGATCTTCATCTTCAATGCTTCTGCGATCAATTCCTGTTTCAACATATCGATCCTTTATTTCTCTCTCAGTTTTCATCCTTCAATAAGTAAGAACAACAATCAAGAATATAGTAGATCTAACAAGAAAATTCTTTAGAAAAAACAACAATGATGGATCAAATGGTTCTGATATCATGAACATAATATCATAGAGTAAAAAAACACAAAAAATTAAAACAGAAAAATAGTTACTTCTTTATTTATTGATTCGTGGAGATATAGCTCTCCTATCACCTTTATATACAAAGTAGAATATTAAAATTACCTTTCAGTTCATCTAAAATAGAAACTATATGTCAACTCATTTAAATTAATTTTAACAATAGTTGACTCAGCATAATAATTCTACAGATTTTCAGGCGTAGTTTCAAATATTACACTACAACTTGAAAGAAAAGAAAAGAAAAGAAAAAAGAGAAGGATAACGAAGTGCCAAGTTTTCTATATTGCATAAACAGTTTTTAAATTTATAATATATATTAAAATATACACATGTATTTAATAATATAATTGGATCATATTAGAGTGAGGTCTGCAATTAGTTTTTCTATAGTAGAATTTTGGTATTTGATTAGTCTCCTCCTTGTTTTGGGACCCGGCATGTGGGAGTTAAGGTCTACCCTTATGACTATTGGATTAGTGTTTTCTATGTGATTTTTCCTCTTTTCCTGAGAGTATAAAGATAATGCTCTTAAGAAGTACAAGGGGTGCCACCTGTGTATAAAAATATTACATATCTCTCAAATAGAAAATATTAAGAACATAAAACAAAATCAGCTCAGCCCTATAATCAAGTTGTGAAAAGCTCTATCATTTCTCTCTAGATAATCCAAAGTATTGCAACCATTGGTAAATGACAAGAACTTTCTCCTAGACTTCCCACGCAAGATTCCATTCCAAGCATACAATTCTGCCTTAATAGTATGAGAACGAGAGCTAAATCTTTATAGCCTTCTAGTTTCAAGCATACCATTCCAAGCCAGTTTGTCGTTGGGTGACGATGCCTCATTTACAAGCTGCTCAACACCTCCTAAGATGCTTGAAGTCTGACCCAGGCTAAGGTATTTTTTCTCTAGAAGACCTTTTCTAATGCAGACTGGATTATTTGTCCAGATTCCAGATGTTTTACCATTGGCTTCAATTTCTTTTTTTTTTTTTTTTTTTTTAGAAATTCCTTGATCTCTTAGAATTCTTAAAAGTAGATTGTTGTGTCTCATTCATCTGCTGATGCTGAGTACCGCACACTTTTTGCTACAAGTAAAATTCTTTGGCTGAAGCAATTACTTGTTGATTTTAGTTTTGCTTCCATTGCTCTAGCTCTTCTTTTGTAACAATCAGACTGCAATACACATTGTTATAAATCCTACATTTCATAAATGCACCAAGCATACTGAAACAGACCGCTGTTTTGTTCGTGATCATCTTGCTGCTAGCTTTATTAAGTTGCTGCATATTAGCTCTTAGCACCAATTAGATTACTTATCCACTAAACCTGTTGCCTCTCCCGTATTTTTCTAGTTATCATCCAAGATTGTTTATACACGATCTTTATAGCTCATTTTGTGGGGGAGTACTAGGATTAGTTTGGTTAACTCAATTTGGTTAAATCAATACAGCAGAGCTGGAGATACATAAAAATCTGTAATCACTATTAATTCATTCAGTGGAATCTTTTACATTTTATTTTTTTTTGTTCCTCTGTCGTAATACTCACATCAGTTGAAATTAGAAGAATATTGTCATTAAAAAAATGTTCTCATCTCCCTAAATGATGAACTTCTTACAGTAAGAAACAAATAGTTCATTTCTTCCTTTTGCTCAATCTGGACCAACTTAGTTATTAGATGTACTGACTTTCGTTGCTAAAAATTTCCCCAATTCGCTTACCTATTTATTAGGCATTCAACTCTGTATATATGTATACTTTTGTGTTATCACATGTCAGTCACGTATATAATTAAGTCAAAAACTTCTATCCTGATAAAAATTATGTTTAAAATATTGTTCTCATAAATTTCAGTCTTTGAATTAAAGTAAATTTAAATTTCACTAAAAAAAAAACCATTCACTTCAAATATAATCTTTCAAAAAAAGAAAGTCTAGAGATATCATTCGTAAGAATCATTTGAATACAGCTCGAGCAATAGACAGGAATGCTGGACCATTAGAGACAATATTAGGCCAACATATACACACCCACACGCCCGAGCACTCTACTCTGCTGAGGCCTAGGGCTCGTCTCTTTAATAAAAAAACTCAATGAACCCGACATAAAAGCTACTTCAATTATTTGCCATAATCAAGTCAAGGCTCTTCAAATATTTAACTAGGACAGAACTCAACAATCCAATTCCAAAAAAAAAAATTGGAAATTACAACACCTCCAGTGTTATAAACACATAAAAGTATTTGAGAATTAGAACATTTAAATAAGAAAAGGATTGGCTTACTACTTCCTTCTTTTGAGTGGTCCTGTCTTGTATCCACACTTGCAAGGTTTGCCCCAAGGTGTCACTGAAAATCTTCCCCAATGTCCACCACTTTTACTCTTCCCCTCACCTCCACCATGTGGATGATCAACTGGATTCATTGCCACTCCTCGAACAACTGGCCTTCGACCCAACCATCGGCTCTGCCCAGCTTTCCTAAGCTTCCGAGCTCCATGGCTTGGGTTTGAAACTGTACCAACTGTAGCACGACAACGAGTGTCGATCAACTTTTCAGTACCTGAAGGCAGTCTTACTAAACAGTACCTAGATTTGGGCTCCTTAAGGATCTTAGCACTAGTTCCTGCAGATCGCACAAGCTTGCCACCTTGGCCCGGGTTCACCTCGATATTGTGGATAATTGTGCCAATACGCATGGAAGAAAGTGGCATGCAACTACCGATTTGTGAATTGATATCAAGATGAAGCATCTGTCTCCTCATTTCCTCGCGCAGTAATTGAGTTTGCATATCAACCACATCTGCAGAATGTGAAAATAGTTATGCGCCATTTGGTTGCTGATGATACATGGAAAATGGGTCAAACAAGAATGAATAGAAACAGTAAATTCTGGGTTAAAAAGAAAATGTATCATCCTAAGCAAACCTCAAATAAATGTCAGATAATTAAGAGGGTATTTTTAGAAGGATGATTTGTGATCTTGCACAGCTTTTGAGCTCACAGGGTTTTGATGAAATCACCTGCAAGCCTTCGATTTGTGCAATGGATAGAAATAGCAATTAAAAATATAAACTGAAAAGACTTACTACTTTCATTAATTTTTTACATTTATCCACAACATAAAACACAATATAAGATCTAGAAGTTATTTATTCACTTCTAATCACATTACAAGGTCAATCCTGCCTTTCCTTTTTTCTAGATAAAACAAAAAAAAAGGCTTTCTATTAAGTTATTCGCAAGGAATCAAAGATATGCACCCATGCAGAAAAGAAGCAATCCTGCTTTTTGTCTGCTTCCCAGTGCACCCCGTATCCATCCAACAAAAAGTTGACCCATAAAGATATGAAAATAAGTCGCAGATAAGTGACCATCTTTGAGAAGGAACAAATACAGCAATGCGAAAAATAGCTATAGCTAAGGAGGAAGAACCTATATTCTTATCAAAAAGCAGTCACTGTCCACTTGGTTCATTTTCTACTTAATTTCTATTCAATTACTAGCCTAAATTTCTTATTAGTATATGCATCATTACAATATCTTGTGTTTTAGTTACCCTTCACTCCCAACTTGTATTCCCAAGTGACAAGAATTTGATTTGCATTTCGACGTGGAAGAAGGAACTCAATTCTTAAGAGATGAGAAGTAGGAAAAGTTCCCATCGGCCATCTCTTGGGAAAACAAAGTGGAGATGACCCTAACTCAATTGTAAAAGACTAAATTATAATTATGCATATTAATAACATTCGAATAAGAATGAGAAATAAGAATTGACTAGTAATTAAATGAGAAACAAACCAAACATAATCTTATTCATACTGATATAGTTCATGTTACAGCAACCAAAAAGAAGAAAATTAATTTAGCTAAATCTAACGAATTAAGGACTGAAAGCATCAGCTTACAAATCTAATGAAATCAACTTGGCAACTTTAAAATATATGACTAGTTAAATCCAAATTAAAAAGAAAATAATAAAGAAATCAACAAACCAACTAAAAACTTTGAAATCTCTTTCCTCAATTTTCTAAGTAACCATACACAAATTCAAAAGGAAGAAACCCAGGAAACACATCATGACAGACCAATTTCATTATGTAACATCACTCTTGGAAAAATATCACTAGTAAAAAGTACAGACCAAAATCTAAAACATATGAAAATCTGATTCCGTCTTAATTTTCTTCAAGTTTGCTGATAAATCAGACAGTGAGTGAATATAATGATAATAAAATAGTAATAGAAAATTCTTAGGAAAAAGCACACCAAAAACAGTCACCAAAGCTGGTATTTAAGCCAATATTGATTCCCTCCTGAGCCATTTTTGTGTGATCTAAGACTCACACCTTGCAAACTGCAATTAGCACTGTGATACTCCCACCTTCAGCACCCATGTCAAGGGGCTGCTACACTAGACTTTCAATAACAATTCAAGTAAACAATTGAATTACATTTTCATGACAAACACTTTATATTACGACTGGAAACATGATGAGCAGATGAAATAGCAACTGATTTGGATCCTAAGTTAGACATCCAACCACACTTAAATCCTCTAACAAATTGTCATTGTGTTATGAGTTTTCAACAGGATGATTCTGGTATTATAAGAGATTTTCTCATGAGAAACACAGACAGCTTACGTGTTTCAGAAATCAGTTAGGCACTGCCGGATGCTGCCGCAAAAGAATTAAATCAGATCATCAGACAGACTATCAATAAGGTTTTGCTAAATCTTTGTTGTGAATGAAAGGACGCCATGTCAACAAAATAGTCACATAATGGAATCAACAACGAAGAATCTCTCTTTTTTTTGTTAAGAACAACCAAGTGTCTCTAATTCCATGAAAAGGGGAACAATCTCCCTCAAAAAGCTTTTTGTTTCTTTCTTTCCAAATAACCCAAGATATAGACAGGAATAAGATTAGAAAACTTTCTTTCTAGATTTACAAATCCTCAAGTCCACCATGCCCAAAGTTCATCACCAGTGACCTAGAAACAACCCAAGACGGGTTAAGAAAAATTAATGCAGAATCCCACATCTTTCTACCGTCTACACCAGAGAATGAAGAAGTTAGGAGATTCACACACATGGCAACACAAAGGTCGCTGATGAAAATAATATTTTCCTCATTTCCGAAGGTTGTCCATAATGAGGATTCTTCCCCATGTAGCTTCCCCAAACATACAAGGCTCTGCAGGGGGGATGATTGCTCTTCCAAATTTTCTTCCATCGAAATTTATAGGCTGCAGCATTCTAAAAGAGACATTTATTATAAACATAATTGACTGAAACTTCCCTACATGGGGAAGGGACCAAACAAGAAAATCTTCCTCTGAAGGATACATCCTGCACTTAATAAAAGGGCCACTAAAATCGATGAATATCTTCTAATGATCAAGCTTCCTGAAGAAAATGATGTTCCAAACAGTATTTCCATTCAAATTTGTCTCACAACATCGCTATCACTTCCTTATCTTTAGGCAACGAGAAAATGTTTTGGGAATGAACCCTCAGCAGTCTTCTACCACAGCATTTACTCCCCATTTCAGGAAGTAGTTATTAATGTTTAAATAAGTTAGTTTCTTGCATTTTCTTGAACTTCCAGTTGTATGTAGAATAAATCCAGACAGCTGTCATTCTTAAGGGGAAAATTATCCTTAAGAGAGCAGTTCGTTTGCACTCTGTAAGCCTATAAAAGACTGTTCTGATTTGCATATAGAATGTGCAGAAAATTGTCTCTAAAGTTTCTGAAATAGTCTGAGTTAAGGGAGATCTTTGAGTTCTCTCTTAATGCACTCTAGCATTTTATACCATAGGTTTTGGAAGGAAGAAAAAAAAGGAAAAAGTATGGGTATCCTATGTTTGATTCACTCTAGAAGGAGCTATAACTAGATCCAAGGTTTTGGACCATACCACAGTGATCTAGCATCAAGTCGCATTCCATGCAATTAGCAGCTCACCGCCAAAATTCAATCAAGTATTCCGACTTAAAAGATAAATTCTTTTCTTCGTTGATATTTCAAGTATTGTAAGAAGAAAAAAAAACGAGTTCGAGAACTACACTTTCTGATTTCTCGGGAACCAAAAAGCCATGTAAATAAAAAGAACTTCGATAAGACAGATATGAGATTAGCAATTTCTTCAATTAAAATTTATGCCTCTCATTGAGTATCCGATTACAATGTTTTCTCACAAAACGATTGTCCTTCTCTTCTTCCCGGTTTCTCAATATGATAAAAGAGAAACCTTTACCAGAGAACTCTCACTTCAGTTAATTAAACGAAATCCAGATATATAAACTAAAGTTGGATCATCTCTTGGCTCATCTCTTGGCTCATCTCATTACCCTAAAACAACCAGAGAACGATAAGGAAACAAAATGACAACATATTTTTTAATTTCATTATCTTTTCTCATTATTTCTATACAAGAAATAAAAACTTTTAACCCAAGAACTATAAGAAACGTACCAGAGGAGAAATTGCGAATACTTGGACGGAGAACCCTGTTAAACAGATTCGACGAAATGGTACGAGCTCTCCAGAGAGCCATGTGAATGATGCCGTTCGGGATAGATCCCGCTATCAAGCTCACGGTGTAAGACTAGGGTTTTTGAGATGATGGGTTTATGAATTACATTTTGCATCCGCAATTAATCCAAACAAGTTCTTTTTGTTAAAAGTGATGATTCGAGTTTGCAAAAAGATGGAGCCGGAGCATGACAGGCTTGGGTTTGGCCTTCCAAAATCCATCCAAACCCAACCCTCTATTATATATATATATATTTTTTAATTTTTATTATTATATTTATATTTATATTTATATTTATATTTGTATGATATAATATAATTTTTAAAAAAGGGTTTGCCCTTCCAAAATCCATCCTAACCCAACCCTCTATTATATATATTTTTTAATTTTTATTATTATATTTATATTTATATTTGTATTTATATGATATAATATAATTTTTTTAAATTATATAATGTATTAATAAATATAGAGATCTTTATCTTGATAACTATAATTATATTTAAATATTTTATTAATATAAATATAAATATTTTTATACTAATATAACAAAATGACGAATAAAGTTTGAGTCAAATAATCTGTAAACTTGATATAATCTAAAAAAATTTAAAAAGTTCAAATGAGTCTCAAATTCAATGTAGTTTCAAGTTTATTTTTCATAGTAGCGGATCAAGTTCAGGTTCAGGTTTAGTAAAACAATTTCCAAATCCACTCTATTACCATCCTTAGGTTAGTGTTATTACTCCTGGATTTCTAATAAGACCCTATGGAAACATAAAGAATACCTTGTTGTGATAACAATTAACACTCAAATGAGGTAGGAGAATATATAATATGATTGAAATTGTTTATATATTTATATATATTATATGCATATATATACACAACAAGTTAGCATAATCTTCAATAATATAAAACAAAGAGTGCCTGTAAGTGCAAATAGATTATTACTATTAAACAACTAAAAAAGAGCTATTATATCTTGAATCAATTGGTATGTGTAAAAACATTCATCTCATTTTCTCTAAATTAAAATAGTGTAAGTTAAACATCATCCCTTAATATCTCAACTATTACATATAAAAAATTTATATACAAATACACATAAATACTATGAAATCTAAAATTTTTATTAAAATACATACTAGAAGAGAAAGACTGAACATACAGGTTATAACTGTGAAACTGAGAAACTGCAATAGATTATATAGAGAGTATGCATGTAAATTATGTCAAGATTTTACCTTTTTAAGTATTCATATTTATAATCAAAACATTAAAATATATATAATATAAATGAGCAGTTTAAGACAATTTTTACATACAAATTCGAATATGATTAGACTTAAATTAAATTTACAAACAATTTTATTCCATTTGACCTGGCTCGACTTCTTTTAAATCTAGAATTACCATAATAGATTTGTTTGGGTTCATCTATTTACGGATTTTTCATCCTTAATATGAAAATAACATCGGGGAAGTTGCATAGATACATTAACTCTAGTAATTTATGAAGTTATCATTTGGAATGGTGCCGACATATCCTGTAGTTGCCATCAAAACTTTTTCGCCCATAATCTTCATTAAGTTTTGGATGAATTAATTGATTATTACCTTAAAAAATATGGACTACTCTAATTGACGAACTTCTAAATTTCTCTTTTATGTATCATATTTTAAGATAACTCATCTTTAGTTTTTTTATATATATTTTTTCAGAAGTGCAAAAACTTTATGATGGAATTTGAGAAACGGCTCCTATCCACTGAGAAAATAGATATTATGTAACAATTGAAAAAAAAAGGAAAAAAAAAAGAGAAATAAAATAAAAAGAAATAAAATAAAATAAAGAAATAAAGAAACCCTAAGGGGGAGAAGAGAAGGGCGGAAAAGAAAAAAAGAGGCAGAAGAAGAAGGCACGACGAGCAGTCGATTCATGCGATATGGAAAAGCTACAGCCAAAGGAGGAGATTCACATATGATCGTTGCGCAATGGCTGGGAAGAAGGAATCACGATGTAGTGGGAGAGGGAGATCTGCTCCTGATGTGCGATGCAGTGACGGGAAGACATATCTGTATGCAAGAACACAGTTCCACTATTGGCACGCGATGTAACGATGGAGAAGGAAACCAGAAGGTGCTGACTTCGGCAACGGCATGTACGACGGCGCATGAGGATTCCGGTACCTTTTCCAATCAAACGTCAAGTAAGAGTCAGGTTAGTTTTCATTTAAAGATCTCATAATTCTTTCTAAAATGGTTTGCTGATTTAAAATAATTGTTGATATCTAGATATTTATTTTCAAGTGTTATTTTAATAACAATTTCATAAACCAACATATGTATGTTAAATGGAATATGCGTGATTTTATAAATATGTGCAGGTTGATACTAGTGTGACAAATTATATGTATTAATTCGTTGTTGTGTGCGTTTACGTGGTATATATATATGTAAGCAATTAGGCATGTTGTGAATATATTAAACATATATTAATGCCCTCTGTATACATCTCTGTGTGTGTATATATGTATATCAATTTACAAGTATAAAGATGCAAGAAGGGTTGTGTGTGCATTCCTGTACTATGCATATATAGATGTTTGAGGGTATGTGTTTCATATTATTTTATTAAAAGCTACATTTATGCAAATTTAAGGTATGAATATATTTATCTATATATTTGTATGGATATAAGCTATGTGTGAGTTTAATGTACACAGGTACTATGGAATTATGATAATTATAACTGCAATAGTTTACGTGATAGTAATAAATATATATTGTAAGAAAGTATGCCTATGCATAATTAGTATAAGTTTGTGGTTGGATATAGTTGTGCTAATATAAATATGTTTATGTAATATGTGTAGGTATGGGTTGTGGTTGCTTATTGTTTACATCATATGTTATGCATATGCTTAATATGATATGAACCGTATATGTTGGATATACATGTATACATGAGGCTTTCTGCTTAATATACTTTGTGTGTACATATGCGAAATTGGATGTGAATTTTACTTTTAAAAAATAAAATCTCAAGAATTTTGAGTTTCTAAAATTAGGGTATGAAATAGAAATAACCCTTGAAGAGGAACAAACTTACCGGGTATCATGGGAGAGAGTGTATGGACTTGGTATATACGATAAACCCTAATGTGGATGTGTTCTCAGTCGTACAAGGTTGGGAAGTCCATACTGGACGTGGTTGAAAGTTAGTTTAATTTTGCTCATACTGAATATGGTATTGAGACGGTTTATAATTGTGACGTTCATTACCAAACGAAATGTGAGGACGATCGATAAATTATAAAAAGAATATTTTGTATATCTGTGTGTAGCACGGATCCCTATGGGCCCCTAATGATACCGGTAATAGAAATGATAATATGTAATGGAAACAAAAATAATTTTGATACGTATCTAATATGATTGATGGTATTTGTGAATGAAACGAATTTATATGAATATGAATCTAATATGATATAATGATATTTATGAGTGAGAATGATATGTATTGATATTTAAATATGAATATATTTGGAATGGGTAATGAGAAGGATGAGGTTCTTGATTGTTTTCTCATATTACATTTTGCGATAATGATGATGAGTATGATTGTCTTTTAAATTGAATTTCTTTAAATATAAAATCTGTATTTATTTTATCAAATATCTATGATTGTTTGTTTGCGTATCTCTATCTGGACACTGCTCGATTCTTACTGAGTTTGTAAAGTTCACCCCAATTGTAGCGCCCGGAGAAAAGGGGCCGAAAAAAAAAAAAAAAAAAAGAAAAGCCACGTCGGCAGCCACGTCAGCAGGCCCGCTCAGCAATCCCGGCCAACCGGGGCCTGCCACGTGGCAAGACCACGTCACTCCAGAACGGGCCACGTTGGCGATCCGCGTGAGCGCGATCGGACGGCCCAGATCAATCGCGCGATTGGACGGCCCAGATGCAATCGCACGGACGGCCCAGATTCAATCAAAAATGGACGGCCCAGATTAAAACAAAATGGACGGCTGAGATCAAAGGGCAAGGGGTTATAAATAGAACCCCCACACCAGACCACAAACCGCCTGCCGCTCGCCGGAGAAGACGAACCAGAAGCCGGCCGCCGCCACCCGCCGCCGCACCGGAAGAACTTCCGACCGCCGATCGAGGTAAATTTCGTACCCCCAACTCGTTTTTCCACTCTGATTCCTCCTGTGGCCAAATCGGAGCCAAAATCCCGGCCAAACGGCCGGAATACACGGCCGAAGCCCAGCGGCGCCGTCGCGCCCCTTCTCGGTTTTTTCCTCCGACGAGGCCCTTCCCGGCCTCCGTTTGATGCAATTTTTATTTCACCGTGATCACCATTCTTTTCTCTACAAGTTGACCGGAGCCGAATCACCAAAACACGAACCTCGCCGGAGAGCTGCCGCACCCGAGAGCGCCGCCGCCGGTAAGCTCAGTTTTTCCGTGATTTTTTGGCCCCCCGAGGGCCCTAGGGTTGTTTTCTCACAGGGACCGATGCGAGTGTGGCCGAATTCGGCCGGAAACGGTCGAAAACAGCCAACCCGAGGCGACTCGCCGCCGCCAGCGGCGGCGCCGTCGCCGGAGCACGGCGGAGCTGCCGTGCCGGAGTTGCGATTTGGGCCGAAAGGGGCCCTGGGCCTAATTTGGGATTTTTTTGGAACACGTGCAGGTACCAGTAGTGCGTTTCAGTTCCCCGAGGAAAATTCAGGGAAAATTAGGGACAGCCTGCAAGCGCACTGTGAAGTCGTGTTCGGACCCCGAAACGAGTAAGGACCCCTCACCCTATTTCCTATCACGGTATTAAAGTTCAAAATGATAAAACGGTATTTCTTGAATTAACGAATGTGTGAAATTGCTTAAGGTGGCTAATGGAGCCCGGGTCTAGTGTGATTGATGATTTACTGTTATTTGGCCTGTTTTACAGCTTTAAATGCAGTATGAGGTTTGATGTGTTTATTTTATAGTTTCGTGTGCATATATTACGTTTTTATTGGTTATGGGTTGAATGACTGAAAAACTGATACCGTATGTTGTCTGTTTGGCATGAATTACGATTTGCTTGTTTAAAATGTGAATTGATAATGCTTACTGAGGAAGAGGAAAATGAAAGATTGTGTAGACTGATAATTGTATGATGGGGTCAGCCTGACTAGATATCCT